TCACAAGAATTTTAGGGCATACATATCTTTATATCCTAAAACAAATACGAGACTTCAAAGAGAAAGAACCTAAATCATCTCTTATGAATTTTACGAGTTGGCCTGGGATGTAGAATACTGCCGTGTTGTGGTAGTGGTTTACAGTGGGGTTTAAAATTTTTTTTTTTACAGTACAACAGAAATTCTGTTGAAAGGGCAACGTCTCGAAACATTCGTCGAGCAGGACGAAAGACGGATCTCCAACGCGACTTGACCAATCCCATTACATCACATCAAATGGTGGCATTCCTATTCATCGTATTCACTGCACGAAGTACAGCGAATATTAATTATTAAAATTTTATGATATTGACATTGTTAATTAATAGTTATTATTCAACACTAGTTTTAAGACAAAATTTAAATTGTTTTTTTTTTAGTTTATTGAAATATTGTTGTCGGTGATCGTGTTGACCGTATCAAAATGATAAAATTATTTATCTTATTGGTTCTCTGTATAAAGCTCAGTATTTTTTTTTTTTTGCTAATTCAAACTACTGTATTAAAATATCGCAGCTTCCTCCTGCTTAAATCTTTCTAATGAAATACATTCTTAATCAATTTTCAACACACATTTATATAAAAATCAACAACATTACGTCGCTACGCCTGACAAGTTCCACATGTGATATTTGTTAGGTTTTGGGAAAGAACAAAAAACGTCGATTTAAATTTGCAAAATCAACAAAAATGACTTAATTTTCATTGTTTCCCACTAATCCACTCCTGACTTTTCTCCATATGTTTAAGCAATTTGCAGATTGTGATGTTAGGAGACATATACTCTCTATCCATTCTGACGCTGTCGGAAGTGATGACGTCAGTCGTAAAATGATAATTCCCATGCTAGACATTTTAACACCTATTATTACCTTTATCTTAAATTTTCCATATCTTCTTTCCCTTCCCAATGGAGGGCGCCCAAATCGTATCTCCACACAATAAAGCAAATTCTTCAAGTTTTTCCGAATATCGTCTTATTTCGATTCCTCCCTTCCTTTCCAAAGTCATAGAACGCCTTGTCCAACAACACATTTATTAGTTTAGTTTAGTAAATAGCATCCTTAATCCTCTCCAATCTGGCTTTAGATCTGGTCATCATAGTACGACTACGACGTTATTAAAAATCACGAATGACATTCGCTACAATATGAATAACCATCGAGTCACAGTATAGGTGTTGCTGGATTTCAGCAATGCATACTGTTGATCATGATATTCTGCTAGGGATACTGCGTTCTCTTAATATATCTCCAACTGCAATTTCCTGGTTTCACAGTTATTTGTATGTACGCCAATGAATTCCTGTCCAAGATAGACTTTCTTCGTGGCTTGATATCGTGGTTGGCGTTCTGCAAGGCAGCGTCTTATCTCCTCTTTTATTCGCAATCTTTATCAATACGATTACGTCCCAAATATCTTCTCTCTGCCACGTGAATGCAGATGATCTCCAAATATATTTGCAAAGAACCAGTGAAGATCTTCCGAAAGCAGTTTATTGTATAAACAAGAATCTGGCTTTTATTTTCGTCTGGAGTCCATCGTAAGGCTTAACTTTGAACCCTTTAAAATCCCAAGCTATAATAATTGGAAGTTCAAGATTGATTTGCAAAATAAAAAAATGTCAATTATAACCCGTTATATTTCATCCTATCTTGAGTTCCTATCCCTTATAATGACGTAGTTAGAAATTAAGATATCCTTTTGGATCCCAGTCTTTCTTAGACTCCCCAAATTAATGCAGTGAGCCGTAAAATGCATACAGTATATGCTTCACCCCGGAGACATCTACTTTTTACCCATTTCCACTTAAATGATGCTTGCACAATTCACTACTCCCTATCCTCTACTATGCTGACATTTGTTACCTTGATATCACTGAGGAGCCACTTAACAAACTTAAGCGACTTTAAAACCTCTGTATACAGTTCATATTTGGACTTCGTAAATATGACCACGTCTCGGAATACCGCACTAAACGCAAGTGGCTATAAATCAGTCTTCGTCGAAATGCTCATATTCTATCTGCCCTCCACTGAATCTTATTTAATATATCAAGTCCTCCCTATCTAAAAGAACGTTTCGAATTGTGTAGCTCGTCATAATTTTTCCCTAAGGGCCAAGGAGAATCTTTAGAACTTGCTCCATTCAATTAAAAATGCTCAATCCAAACATGTGTTCAAGAAAAAAGTTTAGGAACTCTCTAACACCTCTCTCTCTCTCTCTTTCTCCTTTTATTTATGGTAATAGGGTATTTTACACCATGTAAAAAAAATCAAAAAATATATATTTATGATAGATTTCGTAAAAAGTAAACGAGAAATATTGATTTCTATTTATAAAAATGCATTACAATTTTATATTTCAATTTAAAGATTTTTTTTTTACCTGTGCCTCTAAATCTGCAAAACTATGTCCGCCATATTAAATAGCGTCGTGGCGTCACTAGGTCAAAGAGGTTATGTGCTGTGTACTAACTAGCTAATTTCGAAATTTTTCAAGTTATCATTACGATTGTTGACTTTTATCCCGAATTTTATTGAAAAGGCGTCATGGAAGACGGATTCGTAAAAGTGAGTTTATTACTTCGCTTTTAGCACTGATGTTAAAAATATTATAATATAAGCTTAGGTGAGAAAAACTTTTTGCTATATTTTTTTGTACAAACCCTCAGACGAAATAAAAAGTCACTTTTTTATTTGGTCTGAGTACAAACCATGTCTTTATTCCCATATAATAGAAGAAAACAGGAATTAAGTAAAACACTGCAATGCACTTGCAAGGGCTATCAAAATGGTCCACAAAGGACGGGACAGACGAGCGATTAACCTAATCTATTACAAAATTTGACTTGCAATAATAGGTACCTATCATGTCATGATGTTTTGTTTTGTTTAATCGATAGTTAAATATAAGTTATACTTACATCAAAATGATCTTCACAGAAGTATAGTTTCCATTTTGTAGATAATGCATTCGGGTCTCTTCTTGCCAGTTTTAACCAAGTATTTCTCATATTTAAATCAGTTGGCACTTTAATCCATAACTTCCCGGCGTTCTTATGGTCGTATTTTTGCAACCAGGTACAACACAACAATGATAACTCATTATTAAACATTCAAAAGTATCTTATTCCTTTGCAAAATTGTCAAAATTCTAGGACAGTGACGTCACGAGTTGAACAGTATGGCGGCTAGCGTTTTCACGCGAAAATTTAAAACGATAGATTAAAAGTAATTTTTATGGCACTATTCGGTTTAAAATTTTTTTTATAAAAATTATAGTGGTTCATTATCACTCTAGGATTCATTTAAAACACTTTTTGAAAATGGGTGTAATACCCTATTGATTTACATAAAGTATGTTGTCTTTTTTGTGCATAAGTTGGTATCCTTTCTTATTTTAGCTGCAGCTATTTTATTATGGTGTATCATCTGGTTGGGCTGTATTAATATATGATTGTAAAGAAACATGATAAATATACATAAATAAATATCAATAAAATAAAATAAATACATAAATAAATCAAAGCTCAACCAGATGGAAACTGGGAGGGAGATCAAACGACCGAGGGTTAGGGGAAAAGGGAAAGAAACCGGCGGGCGATGCCTGTGGTATTGATATATATATATATTATGGTTGTAGCATGAATGAGTCGGATCGACAGGAGACGCTTTCACAGAATACCAGCGTAATATAGCAGCTTAATGCTGCTTTGTTTCGTATTGTGGGTGTAGATAACCGTATAGACCCTTTATACTGGAAACGAGGCATATCAGCTCAACTCATTCAGGGGTGACAACGCATCATCATTTTAATTGAGGATCAGGTTGAGTGTGCTCGTTTCATATCCTTTTTCTATAAAAAAATCCCGAGTCATCTCCGTCATAAGTCCATCGGAACTTACCGCTAAATAAATCATCGGAATCAATAAATAGTCCACACGCCATAACTTTTAGGTTGGTAGTTGTGGAAAATTCTCGTATGGCCACACTGGTATTCATGTATACATGAATACCATATATTCATGTATGTAACACCTTTATTGTAGACAAACACGAAGTATTTGGTCGCAGTTTGCAAATTTTGTAAAGTTTATATGCAGTTAGCCTTTTTCTCCGTTCAGTTCGCCACAAATCATTGTCTTCATCACTGGCCACTAGAGGTTAACTCTAGTGGCCAGTTTTAATTCTTTTATTTCGTCCTTCGTTTTTTTTTTGCAAAGAACCCAAAAACTCTTCTTTCTTTTTCTCAAAATGGCAGCCAGGGATATCTTCCAGCTCCAAGACGCCGTAGTGCTCATCTGCGTCGCATCTTTTTGATTTTTTGGATTTGACGGTCCAGAAAAATCCAACAATTTTTACTGGAATATTTCAATATTCTTTGTCTTTTTTCTGTATATTTTTTGGTGAACTGCCCTGGATTGTTAATGGAAATTTTCTTCAGCAGCACGTTATGGATCGCTGCTTTGCTGTTCCAAGACGTGACAGCATCAAGACATCGTATTTGATATGACTCCCGAGATGTGTAGTTGACTCGCTTTCCTCCGATAAATTTTATAATTATTGAATTAAATTGCTCAGCCGAGCTATTTGTGACGTCCAGTAAAATACTGCTTGCGTTGTTAACGAAAGAGGATAAATGTTTTTGAATATCCACCGATACTCCACTTTCAACTAGTTCTTGAACTAAGTTAGGCTCAGCGGGACGTTTACAAAAATAATCTGCACAATCATCATGTAATAGATTATTACCACGTTTTTCCGTATCGGTAATGTCTTCGTTCTTCGAATATTTACGGTGCTAACTACTGCTTTTCGGAGACGCCAAACATTGCATAAATTTATTTTTGCCCTATATATGTCCAATTACAGGGCAAGAAAAAGTAATACTAAAACGTGGTCAAATTAATTTGTTAATGTAAAATTGTACTTATTAAAGAAATAAAACAAGGAATGTTCATGATTGAACACGTTTTTATTTTAAAATAATAATATTGATATACTTTGTCATGTGAAAATCTTAACAAGAATAAACAATATAATTTTTATATAAAAAATATTAGAATATGTGCTTAATTAATAAAACAAAACAATATGTACTAATCAAATAATGAAAATATGACTTCTAGCATTAATAGGAACAATATTGTAAAAATTCTAAAAATCAATATTATTATACTTCGAATTATAATCACACTAGAGAATCATTGTTAACACCCGACCGGTATAATAATTAAAGTATTTTTTTATTGTATTGCAAGTTCCATTAGCCTAATCACTATCGGTATCATATAAACATTCGCTAATATTTACGAATTCAATATGATATGTTTGTCACGAAGTTGAAGCTACTGGTTCCATATCTTTCCATATATCCTCCCTAAGAGAAGATTCCATATCCTCTTGCATTTGACCCTCCATGGCAGCATCGTGCAACATATCATCATCTGTGTCTTCCATGTCGGACCTGTCTGGAACAGTATCTTCACTGTAAGCACGATTTTCACCTTTATTTAATAAGTTCCAATTATACGATAAGAAAGTTATTTTCGCCGCTCTTTCTGATGTGAGACAGTTTCTTTTAGCATAAATCCCTATGTGCTGAACGACCGTTCGGTGGCTGCTGATGTGCAGGGTACAGTCAATACACTAAGTGCAACTTTACTTAACTGACTTGAGCCACATATCCCCTTCCACCATAAAATGGGATTTACTTTTTCAGCGGCCTTCCAAGTAAATGGTTTGCTCCAAAGACCTTCTTTAGCTTTATATTTAGCCAGGTCAGCAAGACAGTCAATGTTGCAATGTTCAGCGAGGTTATAGATTAATTCCATGGCTTCAGTTTCTGCCGCCTGATTTAGTTCAATGCCTGCATCTTTAGGATCAATGTAGGCCGCATAATGTATGGGTTTTATGCACTGCTTAACTCGTTTTTCAATATAAGTTTTTATGTTCTCCTTGCTGTCGTCATCAAGCATGGTGATTGTTGGTAACACAAATTCTAACTTTGATTTAAGGTTTCTTAGCACCATAAATACTTCATGTATGTTGAATTTGTTGCCTTCTAATTTAAAGATACTATCTGCTATAGGCTCAAGAACACTGATGGATTGTTCTATCATAGACCAGAAATCTTCATCTAAAAGTGTAGATTTAATATCGGGCGTTGGCTGAAGGTTTTCATTAACAGCTAAAGTCTGTAGTGCAGCTATATTAATTTTCAGACTTTTTAGTGCACTGACATGACTGCCCCATCTTGTCTTACAGGATAATTTTAGACTCTGACTAGAGCTTTTTTCTTTTCTAATTTTACTTAATAAAGCACTTAAGACTTGACTTTTTTTTAATATTTTTAATAACATCTGTTGCGAGATCTATGAAAGCTCTAACTTCGGGTGCTTTTATTACATCAACGCACAATAAATTCAGAGTGTGAGCAGCACAGTTCAATGGCACAATATGTATGTATTTGTTTTTTATCATTTCGAATGACTTTTGGACATTTCGTGCGTTGTCTCCAATAAGGACCACAAATTTACTCACTCTGTAAGATTTCATTACTTTTTCAGTTTCACAACTTAAATACTCACTTGTGTGCCGATTATCAAGTGTGTTCAGACTTTTTATAAAAACAGGTTCTGGCTTGGATATTAAAAAATTTATAATGCCTTCATTGCAAACATCAGTCCAGCCGTCGCATTGCAAGTGTAGAAAATTTGATTCTTTTAAATCATCACTGATTTCTTTATTCATCTCTTTATATATTTTTTCTAGATATTTAGTTGCAATAGACCTTCTATTAGACAATTAAAAATTTAATTTTTCAAAAAATTTTACCCACAATGGGTGGACAATAGTGGACAAATAGAATGCACGTGCGATAACTGCAACTGACACAGGACGACTAACAACAAAATGGCGGCGCGGTGTGTTGCCTGGACGCATCCCTCGTCCCGCACCTCTCACTCACTCACTCGGTACAAGTATTTCTTCCCGCTGCGGCGTAATACGTAACATTTATGTCGTTAACATGGTTTTGTAAAATAAACATATTTAAAAAAAAGTATGCAAATTCATAAAATAACACCTTTAAATAATTAATCTTAACTAAACTCAACAAGTTAGACCAGCTTCCAATGCTAACATAAATCTTGTAAATCAATTTTGGTACAAAAATTTATGCCCAGATAAATGCCCAAGGACAGAAATTTATCGGTGCTTATTAGGAATTTTCCCAATTTGCCAAAAATGCCCGGGCATTTGCCCATCTCTAGGCGTAGACCTTTTGGGCACAAGCCGCAGAAGGGGATCATTTGTTCGTCTATAGAATAGTAACCCGGTAGCCTTTCTATTTTCTCAGAGGCATTTTTACTTGATTTAATACCGGTTGTACTTTCCATAGACTGTTCTTATTACCAATTGGGGCGATATCCTCTTCCACCACATGAAAATTTGTGCGCAACAGCTTCAGTCGGTCTCTTGGAATGATGTCAGCTACTAATGCCAGTCTCATTTCTTGCCTCCAGTACATATGAAGTCGTGGATAAGTTACGCACCCCATTATAAAATGCACACCAATGAACTTCTTCATTTCTACAGGATTAGTATGAAGAACCCTTCCAGTTTGCCTCAAGTAGTAATTATTTGTGCAGTAAGCAACTTTCTCATAAAAAGCATCGTCAAAATAGTCCTCGAAGTATTCGAGAGGCGTTCTAATTGTTTGTTGTACCCGTGGCGGAAAATTATGTTCTTTTTGGTCAAATGGAATAGATTTCCATAGCCTTCGCCTAGACGGATCCCTGTTGCGTTGAGCTGCCTCGGACTGAGCACGAACGCTAGGTGGCGGATTACCAGATAAATCAGGCAGCTGATCATTTCTTCCCTAGTGCGGTACCGAGAAGTACCATGAGATGTGCTTGGTGCGCTTGATGAACGATCAGGTAGATGATGCCGGCGACTTACAGAAAGACCACGTTGAGATCCAGCACAGACTGTATTCGGACTAGGACTTATTTTTGGTACCTGAATGTTAGTGGTTTCTTCTTCTTGCTCGCTGTTAGAAATATCATCGTCCGAATACGACTGACCCGCCACCCGATCTGGTACAGCCTCAATGCCTTCCTCTTCATGACATTCCTCATCTTCGAAACCCTCTATCTCAGACTCGTTTCCGTCTGCTATCAATTCTAGTAAGTATTCCGATGTTAATGTTCTTTCTGCAACAGAAAAAAGAGCGTTTTGTAATTTTTTACTGATTAAAAACATTTATTGATCATTGATCTAATTTTTAATCAACATAAATTTTGATAGACGAGTTAAAACCGGACTCGCACTATCGTGCGTGTTTGAACTAACAACCAAGTATCTTCGTGTCCGATAGAGGTACGCATTGAACTATAGTTGTCTCATTTACTTGACTTTATTATTTGACCTATTAAAATCGCACAATCAATGTAGTCAATCACTATTAAAAATATTTTTAATCATTACTTTATTTTTCCACGCGCGTCGAACAGCTGCACCGCCATTTTGAAAAGGGCAGAAATCCGCGACAACTTCTCACAAATATAACCTTTGCGCCAAAGTTCACACTATACTAAACGCACTACCGTGTGGTATCGGCCGCGTCTCGTAAAGTTGATCGAGCGCGCGAAAATATTTTTGTAAAGTTGAACGCACGATCGTATAAGAGCGTCGTGAAAAAGTTAATTAAAAAAATACAAACCTGTGAATTGAACTTTTTTTTCAATTTCTTCCCAAGCCCTTTCAGTCGTATGTTTTTCATCAGTCAGGCAATTTAAATTTACATAAACACGGTTATTTATGAATTTCTTGCACAAATTGAATGTTTAATTCATGCTTGGCCGCCATTTTGACGACATTCGTAGGAGACGTGGCACGCCGACGACCGACACGGCTGGCATCGCGAGACAAGTCGCGGACGAGTAGGATACTAGTAGCAAAGTGTGCGAATCTCCATTTAGGTGTATGTGAGATACTCCGTGGCGACTAGTCTTAGAAACTTCAATAAGATTCTAGTCGTCTGTGTGTATCGTAATGGGAGAAGGGCCCTCGATTTGAAAGAAAGAAGAAGAAAGAAAGAAAATAAGTTTATTTAGTAACACATTTTAGAAGTTTGCTAACCATAATAACATATTAAGATAAACGGTTACTAAAAAGGTACCCAACTCAGCATAGTCTTGGTACTAACAAAGTACTTCGACACTGATCTTCCGTGGGTGCCGATAACATTTAACAAAAACAAAACTTAACAATATTCATTATTATACAATGTTTAGTCAATATGCAAATACAGTATATTTAAATCATATACACGATTATACTAATAATAATAAGTAATAAAACACACATAAGTACTTATAATAAATTAATATAATATAAATAGCAATTACTTAAATAAGATTAAAAGGAAACGAATAAACGGAATAGCAAAGTATGTAAGACACAGTAAATAATTTTCAATAAATTGACTTTTGAATATTGAGTAAGTATTTTTTGTAGTTATATTTAAACAAACCGATTGAAGCTAGATTTCTAATTGGTGGTGGAATGTTGTTCCAGCATTTCGTGGCAGAATAACGAAAGCTACCTCGAAATGCCGATGTACTGTGTCTTGGACATACTAAACGAGTTGCTATTCTAACCTGTCGCCGTGAAAAGTCTAATTTGTTATAAAGATACTGTGGTGTGTGTGTCATTATGATACCAAACAATAAACTGGCAAAATGAAGAGAACGTCGAGACTGCATATTCATTAAATTACTGTTGTTGAGATAAGGTGTTACATGGGTCCGCTTCGGTATGTTAAAACAAAAACGTGAACAAGCGTTTTGCACCCTTTGTATAACTTTCTTTGTATGAGAGAGGAGACATTCGCCTATAACCGCATCAGCGTAATTAAGCTTAGAAAGAATTAGTGACTCACAAAAGTATATCCTAAGGTCTAAGCTTAAATATTTACGTACTTGGTATAAAATTTTTAGCCTAAAATAATAATTTTTAACAACTTCTAGGACATGATTATGAAATTTTAATTTGCTGTCCATTAGTACACCCAGGTTTCTAGCCTCTGTTACTTGTTCAATATGTTTATTCTGTATTTTTAGTTCTAAAGTAAACCTATTAATCCTATCTACTTGATTTTTGGACCCTAGCACAAGAAATTTAGACTTTTGAGGATTTAGCACTAAGCTGTTTTTATTAGACCATTCAACTACGTGTGCTAAATCCTGATTAATTTTTGTCACTGCTAATAAAGTTTCTGAAGGTCTAAAAGAATAGTAAAGCTGTAAGACATCAGCATAAGCATGAAATTTGCAATATTTAATGCATGAAGCGATATCTGCACTATACAGAATAAAAAGGAGTGGACCCAGTATTGAACCCTGTGGTATACCTTGACTGACAATTGAAATATCTGAGAGTCTTTTAGTATTTGTTTTGCTAATTACTTCAACTCTTTGAGAGCGTCCGTACAAAAAACTTGAAAACCATTTTAATGTGATACTATCAAATCCATAATATGAGAGTTTTGACATAAGCAAATCGTGGTTTATTGTGTCAAAAGCACGGGAAAAGTCCAGCAGTACCAATATTGTTCCATTTCCAGAATCAGCTTCGGATAGTACGTCATCCACTACATCTAATAAAGCAGTGGTCGTGCTATGACCGTTTCTGAAACCAGACTGTTTTTGAGGTAAGATGTTGTTGACATTCAGAAACTCCAAAAGTTGCTGAGATACAACTTTTTCAACTATCTTAGACATAAAGGGAAGAATACTAATGGGACGGAGATCCTTTAACTCGTTCGGATTGCTTTTCTTTGGTATTGGTTTGACCAGAGCTCTTTTCCAAATGTCAGGGAAAACGCCTGTTTTGATGGACTGATTAACAATGGCAGTAATGATCGCTAATGTACGAGGTAATGTCAACTGGATCATATCACGCGTAATGCCATCAGCTCCTTGAGCATTACTCGCAATATTAGAAATTTGTTTGAGTATAGTAGATTATTCTTAAACCATAGCTACAAATATATATATATATATATATATATATATATATATATATATATATATATATATATATATATCTACCCGAGACTATCAATAAACCATGTTTTGTAATGAGACGAATTAAGTCGTGTCCACAGAACACAATTACTGTCTACCAAGAGAAGAACGCCAACTTCATACTAAAAAACGGAAACACGTTTTATAAGTGTACACTAAAAGCGCTACGGTGGACGCCCACATAAAACTTTTTAGTGGGATTTTCAAATCTTTGTATTCTATTAAAATACTCTTTAAACTTTTTGTGTCAGGCATATTCGAGTAATTTTAGCGCAAACCTCACAAACCAATTGGATTGACTCCCATACATTTGATAGGTTTACATCAACATTACTCGAATTTACCTGCGATATATGGATAAGGAGTAAAATAAAACTATAAATAGGTATAATTTTGTAATTTATTTTTCACTAAATTCACGATTTTTTTTTATTCCAAAAACTTAGGCATACATGTATAACAGATGTTGTAACAAATTGAACGTTGAATTCATTGTCTACGTCTTAACCCATTTACGCCCAAATAAAACTCATTTGTATTTATTTATATATTTCTTTATTTATGGGATACTTAGGCCTATATTACTCATTGCTAGTAGTTAGAATTAAAGAAAAAATAAAAATAGGTGGTTTTTCAGGGTGTACTATTTGAAGTACAATGGGCACTTATGAGTGATAATTTCTGAAACATTCTTTATCAATGCACAGAGTTTTCTGGCACCGTATACATTGCCACTTTATGCGAGTATGGCATATAACACATCGTAATTGTTTAGGTAGTTTTCCTGGATTATGTCCATTGTTACTTGGGCTTAGACCACCTATGGTTGAACCAGAACGGCGGCTTTTGTTGCAATTACGAAGTTGAAGATAACGTGCTATATGTCTCCTGAAAGCCAACTGATCCAAGCACTCGCTACCAGCCAAAGTATGCAGACGCCAAGCGTTAGATATACTCATATCAAGCAAGTATGTGAAAATAGCCCACCACCATTTTTTTCCACGAATACTTACGCGATACAATGAAATAGATCCATCCATCTCATCAACGCCGCCCATCCCTTTATTGTAGTTTAGGAATAAACGTGGAATACTCACGTCTACTTTTTGTCTATTCTGTGAACACCAGCGTTTTACTTTGCCAATAGGTTCAATTGTATCAAAGTTTGTACCTATGGTACACACGCTATTATCTTTCCACCTAACAAGCAGCAGTTCATTATTTATATCAAACTTATAATCAAATTCTGCTCTTGCGGACTTTTTTATGATATTTACGGGGCGTAATGGGCATTTCTTTGTCCGATTATCACGTATTGTCCCAGTAGTTTTATATCCAGACTCCTTCAAGTCTCTCAATAAATAACAACTAGTAAAAAAGTTGTCGAAATACACTGTATGCTCTTCTGGTATTGTCGGCATTTTATTCAGTAACGACTTTACAACTCTAGTACCAAGTGGTGCTTTTGAAATTTCAGCTGTTTTACCACAGTACAAATCGAAAGAGTAGCAGTACCCATCAGAACTGGCAGCTACCCAATTTTTATAACAAAATCTGATAGGTTTACCTCTTATGAACTGTTTTGATGAGTGGTGGCCATAATATTTTATCATAGACTCGTCGATCGATATGTCTTCATGAAAAACGCCAAATTGAGAGAATTTTTGCATCAAGATATCACACAATGGCCTCACTTTGAACATTTTGTCTTGAGAAGCACTAGCTAAACTATTGTCTGCCAAATGGAGATTTCTTTTTATATCCAGAAACCGATTTCGAGAGATAGAATTTGTCACAAGTGGTATTCCAAGGTCTTCGTCATAGCTCCAATACTGCCGTTCTCTAGGTAGTTTATGATATCCAGATAGGATAAGCACTCCTAAAAATCGGCGCATATCATCTTGATCTATTTCGAAACCATGTCTATTTTTCTTTCCTGCATATAATAACGTATTACGTCATCAAATATTTTTTCGAAAATCTCAACAGGTGATAATCCTTGTAATTGGTTAATTACCTGGCTTTTTCGTGACGAACATGTATTGTCAGGTAATTGAGATGAAGTTGAGTAAGATGGCATACATTGTCTCCACTTAGGCACTAAATCACATGAGTCTTGGCGGCTCCGCTTGTTGGCCAAAGGTTCATCATCACTGTCTTCCCATTCAGTAGAGTCATGACGTCGACGCATTACCTCCAATATTCCTGGTACTTCTCTAGGTAAATCCGACGGCTGCAAGTCATCTTTGCCTTCTTCTTCGTCAGTAACAATAGCTGGATCTGGTGGTAAAATCACCACATCATATTCTTGGTCGCTCTCTTCTTGCGCTATAGCATTGACAGCTTCTTCTAGGCCAATAAAATTTTTACAAGCTCGAAACACTGACATTTTATCATGTAAGATCTGCATAAAAGAGAAAAACAATATTATATCACGTGTGCCCA